ACCATAGGAACACGTCACTCTTCGGACGGGCACTGGTAATTAATAATGTGATCTTGGCATCTCTATGGTACAAGGCCGTCCTCTGGCCATTGCGTGATGGGGCTCTGAAATCCCTGAAGAAGAAAGCGGCAGCTTACCTGTGGCGAGGTGATAGCAAAAATCCCCACGCCATCAGCCGGGTCGCGTGGGACTCGGTTACCCAACCCAAGACAAAAGGGGGGCTCGGAATATTAGACCCCCTTACCCAAACACAGACCCTCAGCCTTCAATGGATCGTGAGGTTGATTTTCGCAAACCCGCTGGTGTGGAGACCTCTCGCCCTTCAACAGATTGCTTGCTTAGCCCCGGAGGCCCCCCCCACGGTCCATCCGCTCCAGTGGTTGGATGATCGATATTGGAGAGTACCTTGACGCCTCCGGGGGGGGGAGAGGCGGGGGGACGACTTCTGGCCCCGTCTGCTAAAAACATGGAGGAGACTTCCCCCCCCGTCCCACCCACCCCCAACCAGGTGGGAGGAGGTGGCAAGACAACCCCTCCTTGGCAACCGCTAGATCACCAATGGTCTGAGTCAGATCTATTGCAGTTCTGAATCCCCGTGGAAAGGATGGGTGAAGAATGGTGTAACACGCGTGAGAGACCTTTGGGACGCCGAGGAGAACGAGTAGAAGAGCCCGATGGCGATGAAAGAGAGCCTGAGATATTGTCATAACATAGAATCGGCAGTAGAAGAGATCACGGAAGCCCTCCTGGTGGGGTGGCGGCTCATCCTGCGCAAGGGGCCACAGTTACAGGAAGGGGACTGGGTGTCCAAGGATGGGGTGACAGATCAAGTGGGCTTGGTCCACCAGGTCCGATCGGACGATGCACTGATAGAGTGGTATCAGGTGAAAACAGGTGGACCATTAGTTGGAAGTCGGAACCCCCTCCAATGGGTATCAAAGGTGACCCTATACCGAATTAGGATCATTGGGGATGGAGAGAACCAAAGGGCGTTCATGCCAGAGATGGCCATACAAGACCTACCCATAGACCCACTGGAGTGGATCTGGACCCACGAAGGGCAACACCAATCGGGGCAATCCTCCTCCACAGCATTGGCTGACCGTTCTGTGAAAACAACCTACAGAAAGATCAGAACCAAACGGTGCCTGAAAGCAGTCGTGATAGACAGATGGCAGCGGCATCTTAACGTGATTCGGTGGTTCAGTGACACTAAGAGTAGACCGGCAAAGATTACGTCCCTACAGTGGCAAATACTGCACCGCTGCCTGCCAACAAATGACTGGTTGATAGATCATTCGAGTTTGGAACAGCAGGGCCGGGCCCTCCCTTGGTGTTCACGCTGTTGCTTGGGCTTCCCAACGAGATTGAGAACGGAAACAATAGAACATATCTTTTTACAATGCCCACTAGCAGTTCTAACCTGGAGATGGTGGGATCGAGTGTGGCAGCAAATTGTTCCTGGACATCAGTGGCCGTGGGATTGGCGTGCCATTCTCTTAGGCCACTACCGGCCTCTCCAAGGAGACACTTTTGCCTGGAACATGTTCCACCTGGGCAGAAGGACGGTCCTATGGGTCCTATGGTGGCAACGGTGCGCTTTGGTGTTTGACCACGTCCGAGTCGAGGGGGAGGAGAGGGTAGATCAGTTCAAGCAACACATACAAATGGAACTGGAACATAGATGGAAGACYGTCAAATGCACCCTGGACACCCTCAACAGAGCAAAAGACATCAAGGACAGAATAACACAATTCTCCACAGAATGGCTGGGAGGGGATCGAGAGGGGTGGATAGCAGCGGTACGATGGTCAGGGGAAGGGAAGGAAGATGAGGGAAGGGAGGGAGGACAAGGAAAGAGAACGGTGCCATGAGACTATCACTTACAGTTCAAAGACTGGATGACCATAGACTGCAGCGTCCCCCTGAGGCCAGCAGAGGACTTCCCGGACCCATTCCCGCCCCACTCACTGTCCTTGGAAGTAAGACTGAATCAAGATTGATGGATAAAGTAAGACTGAATCAAGATTAATGGATAACTCTTTATCTTCAATGATAGGTGGGGCACTATGCTGCACATACATTCCAAAAATACAAGAGTCTGGTTTTGTCCGGTTTTTCAACCTTTTTGTTTTTTGTTCGCCTTGTCGCTCGGGTTTTGGACATGCTGTGTTGTTTGTTCAGACTATATTCACTCTGTAAAAAGTCTGTTTTGTCAGTTTTTTCAACCTTTTTGCTTTTCTGTGTTGCAGTCTGTCTGATTGTGTTAAGTCTCGTCTTCCAGCCTCAATTCGTGCATTTCAATCTGGGCCACCCATTTTAGTAGTTCTGCTTCATTCTGCAACACTTCAAGTTCGCCGCCGGTCAGTAGGTGGAGGACAGTAGGTTCTTTGGGGAACGGGGCAGGGAGACGGAAGGTCACTGGTGCCCCCCAGTGGCCCTTCCCGGAACCCTGACCGGGCACAGGGGTGGAGAGGGAGAAGGGGACCACCACGGTCCAGGTCACAGTCACACCTGCTCAGTTAATTCTCTGGGCCCTGGAGCAATCAATGCTGGCAGGCATTTCCCAGTCACCATTCAACTTTCCCTCTATGTGCCACACTGTCAAAAAGAGAGGCTCCTGCAGCGGAAAAACAGCCGGGCACAGGGTGGAGCCGTTCATCAGGCCTGCAGGGGGAAGACTAGGCCGTCAGCCGCAGAAATTTGGCGCCAGGTATAAGGCGAAGAGGTTTTTCCTCCCAGCAGCTCAAAAAAAAAAAAAAAGGGGTAACTTCGGTGCAGTCACGAAAACAGTTTGTAATTGCACTTCAGGCAATCCCGCGAATACAACACACCCCCACGCGACCCCACCGGACCGGAAACGTAGGTCATATACATTCAGCATTACCGGCCCTTTTGCCTCAAGTGCAATTACAAACTCAAACCCTGACCGCGCCGTAGTTTTCTCAAAAAAAAAAGCTTCTGATTCAAAAAAAAAAGAAAAAGAGATGAAGCCGGCGCCAGGATGAAGCGGCGCTCTGAGGCTACGGTGAGGAGGTTGCTGGTCTGAGGAGTTTGCTGGTCAGATTGTTTTGAGAGAGGTAGTGTGAGGCAGTAGGTACTAGGCGCCCGGGTTCTCTCCCTCTTYCAAGCARGMCTGCTCAGTCAATCCTCTGAATATCAGAGTAAYCAATGCTGGCAGGTACTCCTCACAGACTCAAATCCCTTATCTATATTCTCATCTATAGTTTCTGCCTGAGAGAAGAAACAGGGAGGATAAGAGCTAGCGGGCAATAGCAGATATCAGGCGCCCGGTACAGGGCGAAGAGGCTCTTTCCCCTCCCCCAAATGTCCTGCACAGTTAATCCTCTGGATTCAGAGTTATCAATCCTGGCAGGTACCCCTCAAGGTTCCGATTCTGATACTATCCAAGGTCACCCAAGATCATTCTTGTAAAGGGGACGCTGGACCCGTTTTCCAGCAGGTGATGCTCCCCAGCAATAGATGGAGCCCCTCCTCAGGTACTAGCGGTGTCTGCAATTACCAGCACCACTAGTACCGAAAGGAGATGTTTTTAAAAAAAAAAAAAAAAAAAAAAAAAGGGGGAAAGGGGGAAAGGGGAGGCAGGATGGCACACATCGTTTGCCTTGGGGAAAGAGGGGATGAAAGGCGAAGCAACGAGTTCACCAAAAACAGCAAACTTGAGTTCCACAAATGGCTGCAAGTCAATCCGGATATCCCCATGAAAAGTCCAGGGGAATATCCTGATATGTTCCCCCCAGCAGCCACAACAACCGTAGACATGCGATGGTTTGGGCGGGAGTAAGGGGCTCGGAGATCAACGGCCAACATCAACTTCTTCATCCCCAGCAGCAGCACCATCATCAACATCACCCATCTATAGCATCCAAACATCAGTAACTGCAAATATGGGACACTGGGCCCGGTTCCCAGCAAGTGTTAATCCAATAACTTACACTCTTAAAAAAGGAGGATGATGCATCCTTACACTCTTAAAAAAGGGGGATGATGTATCCTTTTTTTTTTTTTTTAAAGTGAACAAGCTCCATCTATTGGTGGGGAGCAGCACCTGCTGGAAACCGGGTCCAGCGTCCCATAGATACAACCATATCTTCACAAATTGGCACAAACTGGGAACCGGGCCCAGTGTCCCATAACAAGTACGTTCAGAAAACTCCATCAGAAAATTTCATGAAAATGAGACCAAGAACTACTAGAAAAATCTGATTGGCTAAGGATGGAAACTTAGAAATTGAGATACCGGGGCCATTACCCGGCTTCAGACATGTCTATAACAACTTTGATTAATCAGAATTCAGAAACGACTCAGAATCCTCCATCAATCCACTCTACCCCCCTCCGGCAAGACTGACGGCAGCAGAGCCACCATCTCTGCTGCTGCTATGCCATACTCCCATCCTGCCAGCTAGCCCCCTCACTGGTAGGACGCGTGATAACCCACCATCTTCTCTCTCTTTCTTTTTTTTTTGCTAAGGGCCTCGTTCGACACTCCTCGGGGCCCGAAATTCCCCAAGGAAATGCTCGTTCCACTCATCCTCGGGGAAGACGCGGAAAAGAAAATGTGAAAACATTTCCTCGGGGATTCCTCGGGGATTCCTCGGGGCCACAGCCATTTTGGCGATTTCTCCAAGGGACCTCCCGAGGTCCCTCGGAGGTCGAGCTTCCTGAAGAATCGGGGCGTCGACGACAGCTCCTTCGACGACATTTTCCAATTCCGTCTAGTCCATCGGTGGTCCTGCCTGCGTCTCGACGGACATGTTGGGTCGCCAACGTTCGGCTTCACTCCAACGGTTACCGTTTGCGGGCAACCAGCATCCCCCACGTCCAGAAGGTGTCGTCTTGCGTCGTCGCGTTTGGCAATCCGCGGGAATGTCCCAACGGTCGGCAGATACGAATATTTCAGGCCGCACTCCAGCTCCCAATTACGCACTGAGCGTGGGAGACCGAAGACGTCCTCGGGGGTTTGTTGCGAAGTCGGGACGGCCGTTTGCAGCACTGCGCTCCGCTGTTATGTTGGCGCCCGCGTTGTCTTCCGTTTGCTGCCGTCGTCGTCGACTGTTTCATGGTTGACGGGTTCCGCAGGCTGCCGCTGCTGAACCATTGTCCTGTTGCTGCTCCTCGTGGTTCTCTTCCGCGTGTGCATCCTTGGGAACATGCCGCCGTGTCAACGCAAAAGAAGGTCTTCGATGAAGGACGCCAGGATGGAGGCACGGCAGGCGATCCCTCAGTCCGGTGGGGAGCAGGTCGGAGGGAGGCGGTGTGGGGGGAGCCTGTCGACCGTTGGCAGGGCCTCCCAGCGGGTTGGGTATGATGCATTGCCACCGCACTTGCAACCACTGCCCGGCTCATCGGACGAGGAGGAGGTGGTGGAGAGACGGCCACAAACCGTGTCGCTGGGCAGCGGATCAACGCAGGAGTGGACAGCCACGGAGCTGTGCGGGACGGGCGGCGGCGTGTACGAGCAGTCGTTCACTGAACTCCTTCGGCCTGGCCTTGGCGAAGACGAAGGAGATGGCCGTGTCAACCTGTCGTTTGGTTTGTCCACCGGGCGGTCTACAACTCCATCGCGCACAGTGCTCGTGCGACCCCACCCCGGCGACGAAGGCGGGCAATTGACAGTTGTTGATCGATCAGCGAGGACGAGGGCGTTGGCGAGTGAGACGGCGGGACTGAACCGGAACTCGTCGACGCCCCAGCCACGGGCGGCCTCTCTGTCCAAGGGCGCCCCGGGTCGGCCGGAGTGGATGCAGTTGCCATCTCCCCTGTCGGCGGCGTCGGAAGTGGCACGAGGCAGTGGCGTCGGAGTCGACGGTGGGACCGACTTCTTGGATGTTGGTAATGGTCGCGACGGGAGGGAGGTGTGGAGGGACCTGCGGCGGGATCACCGGCTGCGGCAAGAGGAATACATCACACGGGGGGTGGAGCGTCTTCACGTGGGAGACCGGGAGAACGAGAACGAGACAGACAATCCACCGGCGGAAGAAGACGACGACGACGACGACGACGACGACAACGACGTAGAGGTTGGGGAGGGGGGGGGTGGTCACGCGTCGCCGTCGTTGCAGAGTGACATGGCTGGTAAGGGTGGGAAGTTCAAGCCTTCCGGCCGCAATGCTCGTCCGCGGGCGAATAAAGGACAGGGAAAGGGGAGCGGTGGCGAAGGCGACGGTGATGCGGAGGAGAAGCGCAACTTCTGGTCCGTGGAACACATTATAGCCCTCATAAGGGCTAAACGTGACCAAGATGCGCATATGCAGGGGATGGGCCACGAATACGCACGGATGAAACCGCGGGAATGGAAATGGCAAGACGTCGCCCAAAGGTTGAAGAATGTCGGCGTGGACAGGAATGCGGAGAAATGCCGGAAGAAGTGGGACAATCTAATGCAGCAATTCAAGAAAGTCCATCACTTTCAATCACCGTCAGGGGGTGCCGACTTTTTTCAGTTGACGTCGAAGGAGAGGGTGAGCAGGGGCTTCAATTTCACGATGGATCGCGCAGTTTATGACGAGATAGAGGGGTCGACTGGGATGAACCACACCATCCACCCGAAGAAAGTGGCAGACACCGGTGCGTCTGGCGGCGTGCGCCCGCCTTCGACGTCTTACGTGGATCCTGAATCGGTGACAGACGAGGAAGGAGGTGCAAGGCGAGAAGACGACGAGGAGGGGTCGACGCGAGGCTCTTCGCAGACGACAAGCACCCCCGGCGGTTCTGGGAAAAGGAAGAGCACGAGGCAGCAGACTTTCGAGGCGCTCACGGAATGCATGGAGAACCACGGGGAGCTAATGGCGTCGACGATGGAGAGTGCAAGCAAGCGGCAATGCTCTATCCAGGTCCGGCAATGCGAGGCGTTGGAAGCGGAGGTGGAAGTGCAAAGGAAGCGTAGCTAATACCCAAGGCATCAAAGATGCATTTTCTACGGGATCCCATATGCCACGTCAGACGAAGTCAGCAAACTCATGTGCCACGCATTGTTGGAAATAGCGAAGGCCATTTGTGAGCGGACGAGCAGCTAGGAAGTGTGTTGTGCAATTGTGGAGTCCCTTGAAGCCGGGGGCGAGTTGTTGGCTGGTTTCCCGTTGTAGTCGTGTTGGTAGGTGCGCCGTCGTAGTCACGGCGAGGCTTCGTTGTTCGATCCCTGTACGCTGTTGCGGGTCATGTATGGTAGATCACCATTCATGCAATTTAGTGTTGTCGTTGTAAATTACCTGTAATGCTTAGAATCTTGGGGACAGATAGTCCCGTCATTGCAAATTTGTAACGTTGAGTGGAACAGTGCGGGAAGCACTTGCCTTTTTTTGTGCTTGATGGTCTCTCTCTCTCTCTCTCTCTCTCTCTCTCTCTCTCTCTCTCTCTCTCTCTCTCTCTCTCTCTCTCTCTCTCTCTCTCTCACACACACACAC